CGATAAACAGTATGAAGGTGCATTAATTAGGCGATAGCGATTATTTCAAATTACCAATGTTTCAAAACTCGTATCGTCTGCTCCCTCAAAGGGACTTCAGCACTCCGAGGACTCCTGGTCTGTTTGTGGACTCTAACAACTACCACAAAGGCCTTTCGTTTGACTACATCCCCAATGTTACTGAAAACGACTTCACAGGTAGGACACTAGTTAACACGAGCTGGTTTAGGGGGACATAATTTGTGGTTTTAGGGTACGATTGTTATTCACTTCGAAGAGAAAGTAAGACAGACACTTAGCCTCTTTTTCGTAACCGCAAAGGATTTTTAAAAGACGTCAACATAAGTTATATCAAAATACACAAAGAATATAATGAAATGTCTCATATATTAGAGGTGGGAATCACCAGACAACCCACGATATGACATTATCACAATACTTTAGTCATTTCCTATATTTCATATACTTTAGCATACTAGTACACTTTGTACACTGCCTAGCTCTGGGTGCGAGTAACTTAACTTGACCATCAGTAATGAAAATAACCCCTTCTTGGGGTTTCTTCCCTTTTAGACACCTCCCAGGGATGGTTGTCGTGGATCTGCAACCTAGTTGTCATCTCCCTGGTCTACATCTGCACCTTTTTAACCTTTCCAATAACGGGATGGTTTGTACTGAAAGTAAGTTTGGCTTAAAATTGCACCCATAGCATCTCCACTCACTTGTTGAGAATTAATAGACTTTTTTTTTTTTAAATTCAGACTGTGCCAAACTACCAGAGGATAGTAGTGTTTCGTCTGGGTCGAATATGTCCTCCAAAGGGCCCTGGTATCGTCCTCGTGCTGCCTCTCATTGATCAGTGGCAGAAAGTAGATCTGCGCACCCGTGCTTTCAACATCCCCCCTTGCCAGGTAAACTGCCAGACATGCTATTATTGGTATAGCTGGCCTGTGGCATTTAAAAAGATAAATAAAAAGATGTTTCAGCATGTTTGTTAAACATGGTTTTAATAGTCTTTTGGATGAGATCCCCTCTGTCCATATACATGTATGGGCATGTATGTCTGCCCATATACATGTACATTACATGATAATTAATAGCTAAAGAAGTGTTACATTATATCTTTTTATCCTTAAGCCACAGGAGAGGTCAGCATAGGATGAAATACATGATCTGTGTGCCGTTGTTTCCTGGTTTCTGATTGCATAAGATCAGCTGATTTTTCTACTCTTGCCACACTGTAACACAACACTTTTGAATTCTGAATACTGGTAAAACACGTCTTATACGCATCATTTACCATTTAAAAATGTTTTAAAAGCAGTAACTTCAGTTCCATGAAATGTATTTTGTTTGTGCTGGAGATAATTTCTTCCTTCTCATATGGCTTAGCCTGTCATTCTTACCTTTAATACACTTTAAAAAAAAAAGACAAAAACAATTCAAACTTCAAGCTGATGGCACAATTTATATTCAATTGAGCTTCAGATTTTTGCAAAACCATTCCTCTTAGGAGCTGTGAATGTTATTTACTTAAGAGGAGATGCTTATGTACTAATTCGTTTGCCAGTTTGGCTTCATGTAAGTTCAGCTGTCAGTACACTGTGCTGTTATAGGTGACTACTCGGGATGGTGGTGTGTTGTCAGTGGGAGCAGACATCCAGTTCAGGATCTGGAACCCAGTCTTGTCAGTGGTGTCAATCCAGGATCTGAATGCTTCCACCAGAATGACGGCACAGAAGGCTTTGACCCACAGCCTGGCCAAGAAGACCATCAGGGAAATTCAAACTGAGAGAGTGAAACTAGGGGAATATCTTGGGGTGAGGACACGCTTTAGCTACTCTGTGCTGATTTTTTTTGCTGTATCAGTTCATGCTTACATTCATGCTTCATGTTTACAGATGGACATAAACGAGATGACTCGTCCTTGGGGGTTGGAGGTGGATAGAGTAGAGCTTACCCTTGGTTCTCTACTGAAAGCCCCAGAGGACAGCCCCTCTGCCCCCCTGATTATGCCCTCTGCACCTGGACTTGAAGGCCTCACTGGCCCCATTCAGCAGTTGGCCATGCACTTTCTGAGCCACGGTGCCACATCACGGCCTCAGCAGGGTAAGACAGAACACTTAAAAAATCTTCTTGCATCTTTTCCATAATTAGTGCTGTAATCTTTACCTCTTTCTTCAGAGGACAGCGTAGCATTTACGGATGAGCTCAGCAGTGCTGCTGAGTCTGTCACTGCCACACCAGGTTGTGTTGAAGAGCTGCTCAGCAAAGTCAAGCTGCTCCTCTCTGAGTCTTTGGTCCGCCAGGTTGGGGCCTGTTATCAGTTTGACATCAGCTCAGGAGATGGACAACAGCGCCGTTACTATGTGGATCTGAGCCAAGGTGATAATTATGTCATGATTATGGAATTTTTAATTGGCGCTAAATGTGTGTACAAAAACATAAAAAATGAAATCTGTCTATTTCTCTTTGTACTTTAGGTAGCGGTGCAGCTGGGGAAGGGTCCTTGTGTCGAGAACCAGATGTAACCCTGAATATGAGTGACCGTGACCTTCTGGACATGTTTCAGGGTGAACTGCGACCAATAGCTGCTTTTACAAGTGGCAGACTTAAAGTCCAAGGAGACATTAAAACAGCCATGAAGCTGGAAGAACTCATAAAGCTACTTAAGAAACATCAACTATAGTACATTTTAATTAATTTATTAAATCTTTAATTTTAACTATAAACTGTGTTTTTCGTGTATGCTGTGACTGAATTTCTGTAATATTCTTATAATTTCTCACAAATTCAAAGTAAATGCTTGTTTACAAAGATAACGTGCTTTCTGAGGGTTATTTTATGCAACACTGTTTGAAACATGATTATAAAAAGAGCCGTGAAACTAGATAAAAGCTTCAGTAATGCGGCAGAGCTCTGTCATAATCAGACATGCCGTTCTTTGGTCTATTCTGTGAGATTCAACTAGAAAGCCTTGATCAGGGCAGAAAGGGGGGCCGACTCTACAGACCAGCCTCTCGCCTCCCTTTTTTTGCACCAGATGTCCTTGGCAGAGCCAGAGTAACTGCTGAAGGTGGAGCAGAGTGAGCATTTTTTGTTGTTCAGATGGCCAAGTGGAGTGTTTGGCGTAGCCCTGTGACGCTGCCGCTGTGCTGGGCAGAGGAGCTTACAGCATCAGGCGTGCGCTGCAGCAGCAGCACGCCGATGATCAGACAGGCATACTCGGAAAGCAGCAGCGTCGTCCGGCCTTTCAATGAAATTCCCGGACTGTGGAAGAATGGCTGGGCTAACTTGTACAATTTCTGGAAGTTGGATGGCTTCAGAAATCTTCACCGCCTCATGTTGCAGAACTTCAACACTTTTGGACCCATTTACAGGTAAAGGAGTCCAGGCTGTTTTCTTCGTTCTACATAAAATGAAAAAATTACTGCACATGACTGACCCAAACCTGTAACCTACAATTTCCAAGGTCAAATGTTCATCTCACAATTTCTTTTCTTCTTTTCTGTATGGCAGAGAAAAAATAGGTTATTATGAAAGTGTAAATATCATCAACCCCGAGGATGCTGCCATCCTCTTCAAAGCAGAGGGCCATTATCCTAAAAGGCTGAAGGTTGAAGCATGGACATCATACAGAGATTACAGAAATCGCAAATATGGAGTTCTTCTTAAGTATGTCCTGTTATTGTCCTCTTCCAACTCTTCCACTATTCAGACACTTTGACAAAACCAGTCTCTCCAGTAAGCATTACCAGTGTTAGCTAAATACTTTTAATTTAAAATCTGATTGTCACACAGAAATGGAGAAGACTGGAGATCAAACCGTGTGATTCTCAACAAGGAGGTGATTTCCTTGAAGATACTGGAAAACTTTGTGCCTTTGCTGGATGAAGTGGGCCAGGATTTTGTGGCCAGAGTTCACAAAAAGATCAAGCGAACTGGCCAGAACAAGTGGACCACTGACCTCTCTCAAGAACTCTTTAAATACGCATTAGAATGTAAGAATAACATTTATTTAAAATATTCAATTCTAATTATTCCTGCCTTTTTTTAAACTCAATCACACATCACTTGTTTCTATCTCATGTTTGTTTTGTCCAATATAGCGGTGAGCTCAGTGCTGTATGGTGAGCGTCTGGGTTTGATGCTGGACTACATTGACCCAGAAGCTCAGCATTTCATTGACTGCATCACCCTTATGTTCAAGACTACCTCGCCCATGCTGTACATACCTCCTGCTCTCTTGAAGCAGACTGGATCAAAGGTGTGGCGGGACCACGTGGAGGCCTGGGATGGCATATTCAACCACGGTGGGACACATAGGTTGAAAATTGAATTCTGAAATTTCAAAATACAGTTTTTGCTTTTACTGTGGTGCAATTTCTTGTTTCATTTCTGTCCTTTCGTTGCATCAGCGGACCGCTGTATCCAGAACATCTACAAGAAGCTGCGTCAGGATGCAGGCACTCCAAAGAAATACCCAGGAGTCCTGGCAAGCCTGCTCATGCTGGACAAGCTGTCCATTGAAGACATCAAAGCCAGTGTCACTGAACTGATGGCGGGTGGAGTAGATACAGTAAGGAGAAAAAAAGAAAAATTCAAAGTATGAGGAACTGTGTGACTGTTATCCAGATTTTTAAGGCTGCTTCTGGTTGTGTTACAGACTTCTATAACGCTTCTGTGGACATTGTATGAATTAGCCAGGCACCCCAACCTCCAGGAGGAGCTCAGGGCAGAGGTGGCTGCAGCTCGGGCCGAAAGTCAGGGAGACTTGCTGGAGATGCTGAAGCGGATCCCTTTGGTCAAAGGTGCTCTGAAGGAAACACTCAGGTGACTGAAACACTTGTTCAAGACATTTAAGATAAGACCAGAAAAGATACACTTTATCTGAATGAACTTTTGCAATTCTCTTAGTTCATTAGTTTGTGTTTCTTTTATAAAAGTGGTTTTCTTTCTGTGTCTAAGGTTGCATCCGGTGGCAGTGAGCTTGCAAAGATACATAACAGAAGACATAATTATTCAAAACTATCACATCCCAGCTGGGGTAGGAGGCACAAAAACATATAAATGATGTATTTATATTTGAGTATTTGACCATTTTCATACAAACTGTCATGCATGTTGTTGTGTCTGTATATGTCTGTATGTGTATTCAGACTCTGGTCCAATTAGGGCTGTATGCTATGGGAAGAGACCCCAAGGTGTTTTCTCGTCCGGAGCAGTATCAGCCCTCTCGCTGGCTGAGGACCGAGACCCACTACTTCAGAAGTCTGGGCTTCGGCTTTGGGCCCCGTCAGTGTTTAGGACGAAGAATAGCCGAATCAGAGATGCAACTCTTTCTTATCCACGTAAGATATAAAGAAAATAATCAGCAGTATTTCCATATATATGTGGCACACTGACATCATACAAACTGTCTGCGTTACCTTTGCAGTTTCTCGAGAACTTCAGAGTGGAGAAACAGCGACACGTGGAAGTACAGAGCACCTTTGAGCTAATTCTCTTGCCAGACAAGCCCATAATATTGACTCTGAAACCTCTACAAGCAAGTCAGTAACATCGTGTTTGATGAAATTAACTGTAAACGGCTTCACAAAACTCCACAATATGAACAACAAATGAAAATCTTCCAACCTTAGAGTTGTAGGGAGAGCAAGAAAAACACAGGAAGGAAGGAATAAGCTAAAGCTGCGCAGTAAACCTCAGTTTTTACTTCAGTATTTCTATAGCTAGACAACAAAGTAATGGTACATATTGTAGATTGCTTAGTGAAAAATGTGATTACTAAGGGACATGTACTCTGTGTGTGAAATATACTAAAAATCAGGAATGCATTGTGCAAATTTATTTCACCTGTACTTGGCAAAAAATGTTCACTTATGTACCAATGATGAATAAAAAAATACAACTGATACAAAGTATCTGTTTTTATATGTAATTGTCTATGGTTTACATTTTAAACACACTTTTTCAGATTAAATCATCACATTTGAATTAGATCTAAGTTTTAAATCACAGACTCTGTGTGTCCCATCAACAGTTCAATTCATTTGCAGGTCTTTTTACAGGTTTTGCTTCTGCTGTCCTCTTTGCTGGTATAAAGAGCTGTAGGAAGTAACATGCAGTATTTGAGAATATTAAATCCCTTCATACCATAATTATATGGAGAAGAGTGAGGCCTGACTGACCGAAGGAACATTTTGAAGAATTGCTGTGGATGTTCGGATGAAGCCGTGCCTGTGCTCGCTCAGTTTGGTCAGCATTTCTTGCTTCTCTCTCCCCCATACTTTAGCGTTCTCCTCCAGCTTTAAAGATGCAAAAGAATATATATATATATTTATAAGGAAATAAATAATTAGAACAAGTATATCTTATTTATATTTTCTTAACCTGAGCTTCCAGTGTTTGGATTCGTGCTTCAGCCCTCTCCAATTTATGTCGTAAACTCCATTCCTCCTTGAGTGTAAAAAAAAAAAAAAAAAGTGTCACTTTTAGGAGTTGCGAGGGAAAATTTGGATACTATCATAGTTATTTGCAATATTTAAGAAGTTTAAGAAGTACCTGGTCTGACTGCTGTGTTTTGAGTGGTGCAGGCAGCTGGTGAATCCTTTCCAGCTCTTTTCTGAGAGGGCCGTTCCTTGCTGCCAAGGCTGATTTCATTTCCTTCTTTTTAAAGCCATCTTCTCAGCATGAAAAGAGATCAGACACTCCAGTCAGTGTCAGTGCTTTTGTGACCATAATTGTTCCCACTGGGTGCACTTACCTCTTTCCATTAGCATCAGCCTTTTGTCACCACGTTGAATATTCTTGTCTCTGAGCTTTCCATCTAATGCTTTCTCCATTTTTTCTATGACCTAAAAATAAGGATGGCACAAACATAAATATCCCCTCATGCGAATTATAAGCTGCTAGTCACATGAGAAGCATATTCACTATCATGAAATTAGATTAGTAACAGACTGTACACCTCTTCCTGCTGTTTCACTGTGGCCTCTAAAGTTGCCATCTTTGCCAAGTGACTCTGGTGATGCTGCAGATCCTTCTGCTCCTGCTGGAGGACTCTGCAGAGCTTTAATAGCTCCTGCTCACTATCATTTTTCTGCACAAATAAAACCAATACGAGTTATATAATCAGTGGAAAGACACTTTCCTGAGACGTGTTTTAAAAAATATTCATAATGTGTGTGGTGTGTTTTCTAACCCAGATGAGCTCGTTTTGCAGATGTTGTATGCGGTCCCTTTGTGTGGCGGCCTTGCTCACCTCACTGGCGAGCTTGAATTTTAGAGTGGCTTAAAAAGAGCAGAACAATCATCAGAACTGCAGAAACTGTCTGTCATCTCTTACTTACAGGGAATGTGTTTTTTGTATATTCACTTAAAAACTCGATCGCTGAGCATATCTAAGTAATGAGTTCGAATTTCACACTAGTTTCAATAACATGTCAGTTTTATGCCATGTGCTTTGGACCAATAATAATCAAAAGATCCATCAATATACTTTTGAATTTGAATGGATCTTTCGGAGGGATGGGAGTTAAATCCTATCTTTTTGCTTTTGATGTTAGCAAAGAGACCTTCTGGAACGTCCTTTCACCGAGGGCCACAAACTGTCCTTCAGGAGATAAGGGTTGTAGTACACACGGAGCTTATCGTGGTCCATGGCCTAAATAAGCTTCCTTATCACAAAATGACAGTATGCCTGGGAATGGACACTCACAAGGATTAACGCATGCTGAGCAGCCTTCGATGTCACGACTTCATCTGCCAAGGAAATGACCTTAAGTCCGTTACGGCACTGAGAGAGAGCCAGCAGGGTGGTAAATTATCTGACTTTAGTGGATCAGCACCTAGTCCTTTATTTGCTCTTAACTTCTTAGGAGTTTTAAATTTTGCTCTGAGACTAAATGATGGTGTGTGGATAATATAAAGCTGAGTAAAACTTAAATGTTAAATTTATTTAAGTGTCAAATCACAACAACAACATCCTCAAGGGACTTTGTATTCTAAGGCAAAGACCCTACAATAACGCAGAGAAAATCCCAACAATCAGACAAACCCCCTATGAAGAAGTAATGGGCAACACTGGGAAGGAGAAATGATGACAGGGGAAATAACTAATGATGAAATGCAGAGTGATGTATAAACACCCAGTGAGTGAAGAAGAAACACTCAAGGCATCACGGGAAGCCCCCAGCAGCCTAGGCATATTGCAGCATAACTAAGGGAGAGTTCAGGGTCACCTGATCCAGCCCCAGCTATAAGCTATAGACTTATAAGCTATATAAGTGAAATGGAAAGCTGTAAATCTAATCTTAAAAGTAGAGAGGGTGTATATCTCTTGAGTTCAAACTGGGAGCTGGTTCCACAGAAGAGGGGCCTGAAAGCTGAAGGCTCTGGCTCCCATTTTACTTTTAAAACATAAACTTTAAATGCCCCCGTGAACCACAAGTAAGCTACCAGAGAGTGAAGTTAGGGTGATATATTACTTTTGTACCTATTCGGTCAGCAATTTCAGCCTTGGTCATGACATCAATGTCAGTGTCGGCCAGAAGATCTCGTCCAAGGTCCTGCTGCAGAGACAGATCACTGCGGAGCTGACTGTTTTCTGCCTCCAAAGACAGCACCTGTGTCCTAAGTGTTATTATATCTTCTGCCATCCTAGACATTGCTGAGCGATAGTTTTCAATCTCCTGATGGTGAAAGAGTGCCTGTAAGTCTCACATTAGAACATTTTCAGTGACTTAAAAGCAGAGGTGAGAAGTAATGAAGTACAAATACTTGGTTACTGTACTTAAGTAGAGTACTTAAGAAGTAACCAAGTACAAATACTACAAATAGTAGAATTGTCAGGTATCTGTACTTTATTTGATTATTTATTTTTCAGACAACTTTTTACTTTTACTGCCTACATTTTTATACAAATATGCGTATTTTCTACTCCTTACATATGCAAAACAGTCTCGTTACTTTCGGTTCAAAGGTTAATTTATAGCTTATAGGTGGGCCGGAAGGAGTGCAGGTGTCCGCAATTTGTGTTCGCGGTACTTCAGAATCAAGCTAGCGCCACAGAAGAGGAGCGAGCATAACGGAAGTAACGTTTTGTTAAGTGGCAGGTAAGTCCAAATTAAACGTTTCTATCAGCAAAAACACACAAACTGTTTGTGTGCAGTTTGTCGCACAGTGTGTCGCAAGCTAAAGGTCTGGATTTCCTAGGGAGAGAAAAGAGTGCGCAATAAATTCAATAGGAGATGGAGAAAGATGGAGGAAGACAGACAGGACGTGAGAGGAAGAAGATAGGTTGTATTTTAAGGTAAGGAGTGCTCAGTGACTCCGATGAACTGCAAATTTAAAGCTTATATGCAATGTCTTAATTTTTTTAATCACATATTGGATTTGTGCATGAGGTGTTTTGTTAGATTATGTGTTTTCATTTTTGTGAAACAAACTAAGCTATACTAACTTTGTGCCATTTAAATGTTGCATGAATATTTGGGGTATTTTGCCAGAGTGGCTGTGGTTCTTATGGTTAGAATTAGGTTACATCAAATGCATCAGAGATGAATTTGCATTTAAACTGATGATGCTTAGATTAATTAACTGAATCCTAACTCTATACCAACTATATGCTGTCTAGTATAAAGAAACAGCACAGTGTCAGGGGATGGACATAACCCATGGTAGCTTGTGAAACTGCTGACATCTTGTTGAATTCAGTTGTGTAAATCCACAAAGAGCAGCAGGTCAGCTGATCACAGCCTGTACACTAAGAAAATCTACTGACGCTCACATTAATTATTATGAGTTTTAATTCTTATTCCCACTGAGCCACTACAGAGATCTTAGGATTCCCCCCACCTGCTGAATCCCACTATAACCAATGACTTACTCGTTTTCCTGTTTAGGTGTGGAGGCAAAGTTAGCCTCTACAATGTAGGTAACAGAAAATAGGTATTTTTTAAAATTCTCTTTCACTGTTTGTGTCCTACTGGTCTACTACTACTTGCATTGAACCTTATTAGTGCCTGTCAGATCAATAAATGCCATTCTTTTTAGTGCTTATAGTGGCATTTTACTGTAATGCACTGACTGGTGTCAACAATAAATTCACTGGCCTGTTGAAACAATTTGATATTAGGTGGTTATGAGCGAGCGCCACCACTAGATGTCTCCTCAATCCCATATCTTAAGAGAGTAATACAGGATGTATTACCATAGACACACAAACAATTATAGCAGCAAAAGGTATGAACAGGCTTGAACTGGTTTTAAATAGGATAACTGGTAACTTCTGGTTTTTAGATATGCATGTAGCATGAGACATGGGGTATTACTGCAAGCCATAAATGAACGTGATCCATTGACTTGGATGTTCCTCTAATTGATTGGTTAAGGTTTGGTATAATGTATTCATAACTCTGGCTCCTCAAATTCATAAGGGCATACCACTCCATCCTGTAAAGGTGTTTTGTTAGGGGAAATTCAACCGGGGATTTTGCACAAATTTTAGTCGTCTAGTCGTGCATGCACACACGTTCCTCTCTGAAAGCTGAATTTCTGTAGAAGCGAGTCAAAAAAATATATATTTCTGGGAAATTCTTTAAAGAAATTTGTTTCTTTAAAGACTGACAAAATGAGTCTGGGAGCTTAGCTTTTTTTTTATCAAAGCATTTCTTTGTACAAGGCCCCTGGATGTTGTCTAGCAGCGTGTAGGACCCATTGTTCTGTCACATGCTCTTCTATCAAGTTGAATAGCCAGAATTGAATGGAGACAAGAGGCAGGTCCAGCTGTATGTATGAGCGGGGGGGTGACGATTAGGGGATTCCAATCTTGGATGGTGTTGTTGTGTCTCCCATGGGACACAAGGGGTGAAATTGAGCATCTAATTGAAAGGGCAGGGACGAGGTGACAATC